AAATAAAATAAAATAAGTATGGAGACGTTTCTTTTTTTCTTATAAGAGAATCTCATATTCTTCATCAGAACTACAGCTACTTTCACTGGAAGAATAATTCTTCAATATCTGTACAACGGATACAATTGTAATCTCTGCTATTGTAATATTCGGCATTGAGTGTGAGCGTTAAAGCGAGTTGCGAGCGTTAAATGAAACGCACCCATGATGACTAGTGACGTCAACGCTCACGCCGACCACCTCCTTAGTGCGGGCGTTGTGAACATTCATTTTTATCACCTGAAGTTGTTCACTTATAGCGTCCGCTGGCGTCGTGGACGATAAAGCGGGGAGCACAGACTCTTGCATAACGCATAACACATAAGGCATAAGAAATTCATCCAATCAGAGTTCTTTATTTCATGGAAAGGAAGGAAACGAAGGACTTTGATTGGTACATTTTCTTATGTATTACGTGTTATGCGTTATGCAAGAGTCTGTGCTCCTCGCTTAGGTGGAATAGCACGAAGAGCGATCTGAGCGTTACGAGCGTTATGTGGAACGCACCCATAATGTCTCTAAGCGCGTCATTTGTCGCGCGCGTCATTCTAGAAGTAACTAGATTGTCGTGCACGTGAAACTTGATAAACATAACTCGAAAATTGCTTACGAAAGATATCAGTCGCTATTAAAAGCGATGCAAATAACAGTAATAAAATATGCAGCTTGTTCATATTGAATGTTTTATATAAAGCTCAATAATAAGTCATCATATGTTTTAAGTCTCATATCAAATAGTATTTTCACCACGATTTAGTAAAGGCCATCACACGTACACAAATTTTAGTCGTAATCGTAAGGCCATAAGCAAATCGGCCAATCACAGTTGAGCATTTAAAAACGCGAGATCTTAATTTTGATTGTGATTGGTCGATTTGCTTGCGACCTTATGATTCCGACTAAAATTTTTGTACGTGATGGCCTTAACGGATAAACTCAAACCTTAAAATTCTTAATATCGACATTATCTTTTCACCATAAACATTTATTTCTTTTACTAACTTGAGGTATGTCGATTTTCTCATAGTTTTCCATTATCAATATTTCCATATAAAGCAACAATTCACTTCTTAGGGTGAAATCACACGGTGCGGAAAAAGACTGCGGAATAGAGAATGCGTCATTGAAGCAACCAATCAGCGCTATTCCGAATAGCGCTGAATAGCGTTGATTGGTTGTTTCAATGACGCATTCTCTATTCCGCAGTCTTTTTCCACACTGTGTGATTTCACCCTTAGCACCTTTCGCGATTTTTCAAAACACAAGACGCTTTTGCAGTTGGATAAATTCAACTGTATACGCGTCAAACGCGACAACGCTAGAATCTAGAAATTTCTGAGGGTGGAGTCCCATGAGGTGTATTTATCGCGTATCGCGTAAGC